ATCGTGATCGAGTGAGATCCAGAAGCTCGATCGCTCGAGGTATTTCCGAGAAACGAGAAATCGCATCCAACTGAGTCTCCAAATCAGGGTCGTCGACAAGGGATTTCAGAGCCATGCTGTCCGCGGCTCTCGCTTCAATCTTTGACACAAATAGCTTCACTCTGTCGAAATTCCGCTGATGGTGGAACGCAGTGTTGAGGAAAGTGCCCCATCTCGTTATAACTGGCTTGGGAGGTAGCGGTTCATCCTCGAGTATTTCCTGGTAGAGATCTGTCCTTGCCTTCGAGTAGTTCAGAACACTCTTCATGCTCGAGACGAGAGAATTCACTTTTGGGAACTTCTCTCGGATGAATTCACAGAGCAAATGTAAGCCATGAGCGAAACAAGTGATGTGTACGAAATTCTTGTAGAAAATCTTCAATTCGCGGCCAGCAGCTATCATTGTACGGCATTGGTCGGCCACAAACAATCTGAACAAGTTCGGATCTTTCGAGATTGTCATCGCTGTTCGGTTAACGATGCCAGCCAGGGTCAAGGTGTTTGCGGAATCCACGAAGTCTGTATCGAAAAGGAGGGGTTGCTCGGGCATCCCCGTGAGGGGGATCACAATCGTGTTCACCACTTTTCGCTTTCGGACATCCTGAGTCTCATCGATGTATATGGCGTATGGAACTGATTCGAGCCGGCGCTTTATTTCTTCCGTGATTCTTTGATAGCCGAAGGCAATGTACTTCTCCGGATTTTTCGCATACTCCACCGGCCGACCGGCGTACCTTTGAAAGAAGCTCTTGAAACGTGGTGATGACAAATTATGAAGCGGGATATTTGAAGATACGAAAAGCAGGAAAAGTTCGTAATTGAACGGATTCACATTTTCTGTCTCACTCGCGTTCAGAGCGTTCACGATCCCGTTTTGACTGCCCGAAATCTCTTCTGCGCGCAGGTGCCTGGCTGTCCTCAGATGCTCGGAGAGTCTCGCACTTCCCCTGCGGTCTTTGATGGTCACCGTCGCAGAGCAAATCTCGCACACCACGTCTCCGTTAAGGCGACGGAAGCACTGATTTTCAGCTTTCGCGAGCCATTTTCGAACCAACGTTTCTAGATTCACGTCCATTTCCGGGTCGGTACGAGCGCAAGAGGCTCCGTTTCGGGGAACGATTGGCTGGTTACTTCGAGCTTCACTTCTTCTCGTGGTCTCTCTGAGCGCGATGCGGAGAGTCCAGACAACTCGCGGCTTGGAAACCGCGAGATCAGCTCGGTCCTCACAGATGTGCACATCAGGTGATGGAGGTTCGATATCGTCATTCCACACTTGACAGTGTCATGTTATCTTGCAATGCTGTCATTTCAGCGCTTCGCTGCCAATCGTGAAGGCTCCTCCGATTTCCGACCAGAGATTATGCTTCAAACTGAGGAGCAGAATGAAGCAGCGAAGAATCTCGGCGCCCAAGTTGCCATCGGGAGCGAATCTGAGAAGATCTGAGGTCTATTCCCCCAGAGAAAATGGATTCGGCGGATGCTGAGCACATTTCTGGAAAACCGGACATTTGTCCGGATTTCCGAGTATTTTTCCGAAAAACCGGACATCTGTCCGAATTTTCGGACATTTTTCCGAAAAAACGGACAACGAGAGCGAAACGGAAATGTCCGAAATTTAGGAACTCTAATCATGCACTATCAAAACGGGCACAGGCCAAATCCTCGATCGGCCTATCAGAAAGCTCTACCCGTTGGAAACTTCCCAACCGAATCTCAGAACGCCAGATCTGGCCCTTTAAATAATGCCAGAAAAGAGAAGAAATCACAACCACAGCCCAAATTCAATTCCCCACCCTCAAGACTCAAGAGTAAACCATACCAGTACATCAGAGTGAAAAGCCACATTTATACTAAAACTGCGACAGCATATCACATTCCATATCTTCAGGAATGCCCCTGGGGCCGGAATCCTTCGGGGAGGACGGGCTCCCCGCTTTCGGGGTCGACGGGCCTTGAGGTACGTTCGCTAGCCGGAGCGAGTCCGGGGTCCCGCATCATTCTCCAAACGTATTCGCGGCGTGCCTCATCGCCTGCGGCGGCTTCGATGGCGCCTAGCCGCGGCAGATCGATGTTGATCTGGGCCTGGCCCAAAGGAATGGTGAGCGCATGGGGCTCCCCCGTCTGCAAGTCGTGCGGCAGCCTCAGGTAGCTGCCGACGAAGGCTGCCAGGCGCGGCGGCTTGAACCGGAACTGCCGGGTCAGCGTGGGCTTGGGCACTGTGCCCCGCCTCCTCTTCAGGAGACTCCTGGCGTAGGCCCGGAACGGCCGTTGTTCCTCCTCGGACAGATCAAACCAATAATGTCGAGCGAGGAACTGGCAGTCTCGCTGCGACAGCCCGGTGTCGTTAAGTTCTCCTTCGAGCAAAAGGCCATACACCACCCCCAGGGGGGTATGGTGATAGGGGTGCCCCTGGGGCCGGGAGTGGCGGTGGAACGATGAAGAACTGGCCATGGTGATATCACAAAAACGGAAGGGATGCACGAACGTTGTTCCCAGACTCGACAGTGGAAGACTGATGGAGACGGTCGCGCGGGGAGTTACCGCCAGAGATCGGCACACGCCGCCAGGCGGCGCCTTCGACCCAGCGCGTCAATTTGAATTCGAAAGCGACTTCCAAGCCTGCAGTTCAGAACTCCGGGTTCTTCGGGAGAACGCGGAGTTCGGGGGGGGGGACTGTCACGGACGGAGCTGCCGTCGCGTCTCTAAGCTTGCACACGTTCACGACACACACACACTACTCAAAACAATCAGCACACAACAAGCACAGCAGAGTTAGAGTCTAACCGTGGGGACCTTCCAGCATCTCAATCATTGTGTAATTATTTATCCATAATACCCGTCCAGGACGAGCAGTCCTGTTTAAACCAGAATAAATCCCGGAGGAGTGCGCCGCCACCTAGGTACGTCAACAGGCGCAGCGCTGGCCTCTCCAGAGCTGAACGTCAGCTGCTCCGCATCAGCTGTTTCACTGACAGCCGGTCGAGAGACGTTGAAAACACTGTGGTTGCCACAGCGGCGACAGCGGCGGACATGAGAGACAATCAATCATCATCGAGAATCACGGTCACGAGGTAGCATCAGAGCTCCTCGTGAAGTTTGTCCAGGGCTTCAAAACCCCAGTGCTCATTCAGTTCCTCTCAGCGAACGGAGGCTCATTCCTCCTTCGCTCTCATTCAATCATCTCCAGGAGATTTTCCCGTCCAATCCGGGGTTCTCCTGGTAACTCTATCTGCGCAGCGCACTCCACGTGAACTCTACAAGTTCAGTTCTTGTGTTTTCATTTAGTCAGTGAAGAGTGTCCGCCACAGAAGCGGTGGTTAACCACATCAGAAGCGGCACGAAAGTCAATAAATATAGCATCAGTGCGGGCCAAACTGTCATTTAAGCCAGATCAGTTATCACTTATCACGTGTCTCCACAACTTGGAGAACAGTAGACCTCCTGGGTCTGAAGCCAAACTGGTTTCGATCGAAAAGGTCGTGTATCTCGCATTGAGAGACGATCCGATCTGCGAGGATGCGTTCAAGAATCTTACTAGCCAACACGGTGATAGCAATCGGCCGATAAATAATTGGCAACAGCCGCTCGCGAGCCTTTAAATTTGAAAATCGGTGTGACATAGGATAGTTTCCAGGCGCGTGGCACAACTTAGGGAGAGATTATAGACGATTCGAAGCGGCTTGGCTGAGCCAAGAGCAGCGTTGGAGAAGAATAGCGGAGGGAGTCCATCTGGAGTGACGGTCAGTTTCTCGCCCAAAGCACGTAGCGCGTTGAAGATGGTGAGCTCGTCGATATCCGAGTCCTGAAGAGGAGGACATGTACCACTGGAGCGAACCGGAGGGATGGGGGATCCGTCGCCAGGTGTGAAGAGCCATGAGAAGTAGGGAGCGAAACAGGCAGCCTTGTCAGGAGACGATGAGAGAAGATGACCAGCAGAAGTCTTCAGCAGAGGGACATCGGGACAACCACCCAAGCGACTGCGCGCGTACCGATAGAAGTCGCGAGCACTACCGCACGAGAATACACGCGACTCAGCCAAAGTTCTCTCGCGGGCAATAAGGCGATCGAATTGATTCCTTATGGCGTCCTGAGTGGCAAAGTGGCGCTCCGCAGCATGTGAATCGAGCGCACGGTATAGAGAAGCAATGTGGTCGGAGAGGCCAGAATCAAGAGATGACGCATAGTCGAACACCGCTCGCGAGTCCGTGGATACGTCGAGTCGGGACACGTAAACGTATGTGACTCGAGGGCACGGGGCGCAGCAGTGAGCGAGCAGCTAGCATTAAAGTGAATTTCCCTCTACGTTCCTTGGCATGAAGTTTAATTGTTCAGCCTCAACGGCTGATTTTGTCGACAGTCCGCTGCCGCGCCGTTTAGCAACAGAACTGGAAGCGACGACCGGCGCAGTAGCATTACCGGCAGCGCTGGAAGGCATCTTCGGGACCGATACGACTGCGGCGGAAGAGGGCTTCGGGTTGAGCGGACGAGCGGAAGGAATTGGGTTCGCACAAACTTCACGGGCGACGCTTCCGGAGGAATGCGCGGAAACACGACCATTCAGCTCATACGAGGACAGGACAGTCCGTAATTCACGAATCTCCCTGTCCTTGGAGTCGATTTTCTCATGGAGCGACAGCATCATGTTACTGAGCTGGATGACGCGGACAGAAACATTCTTGGTAGTCTCCGCGACACAGCAGGCTCGACAGAGTCCGGCATCTTCCTTCCCCAAACAGCAGCTCTCATGGACGAAGCTGGCACGGGGACCGCCGCAGACGAGCATGGGGCCTTTCTCTGAGCAGCGGTAGCACCTTTCGTCGAATCCAGAGGGGATCATCGACTGGGCTAACTTGATGGGGGATCAGTTCGAATGCGGAGGAAGAAGCCGACTTCGAAGATTCCATCTCGGCTCCGCCTCCCTCAAACGTTATGTCGCGAGTTCCTGCGTCCGATTCCGCGTCTTTTCCGTCGTCTTCTCTGCCAGAACCGCCGTCCAGTGTGTCGGCCTCCGACGGCGGCATCACCACGGGTCTGGAGCAACGGTCGCGCGCACCAGTGTGCGCCCAAGGTCCAAGCAAGCAAGGAGAACCTGTCACTAGGCGTGAGCAGCCTCCGCGCAACGTCAAGAAACCGACTGATTACGCAGCATTGGGAAGAGGCTTGAGTCGTCTCTTCGGACGAGCCGACTAGATCGGGAGGTGTTGTGTAATCGCTCAATGATTACAACGAAGTGGATTCACTAGTATATAAGCCGCTGCCAATAAACGGTTATTCATTAGCCACTCAGTAACGTGAACGTCTCGTAGTCTCCTTAGTGTCATACAAAACAGAGGTTATCTCGAAGCCTTGTGGCGAAGCTCGATGGGGACTCAGACGTTATGTTCGCCAGCTCCACGAACATGTACTGTTGGAGGAAACGAGGTCTTGTGAGAATGGGCTCTGGTTAAGGAGTTACGAATCAAATTTGATGATGACCCTACTTCGATGATGATGTCCGCTTTGAACAATGCCACGCTCTCATCAGATAGCCTCATGGTGGCGGCATTAAGAGATCGAAGAGCAGGAAGCATTTCTTCAATGGCCTCCATCTCTCTCCGCGAGAAGGGCCACGATGCACCATGCTCTTCGTAGTGAGTTTCGACAGCTTCCCTCAGCTTCACGAACCGCTCGAGCATGCGGAGTGTGCTATTCCACCTGTGAGAGGGAACAGGCCATGAAGTGGAAAACGTATACAGAGACTTCATCAACTTTGACTCTACGGCTCATGATTCATGACTCATTAATGGATTCACGATCACAGCTACTCTCCATCCTCTCAGAAGGCGAAATGTTAGGCAGACATCATCGTCGGAATCTCCCACCTTATGTGAATGTCGGGGTTACGGGCCTTTTTAAATAGTACCGCGCGTCAGCAGACGCGTGCTCGCCTTGTGTTTCCAAAATAAATGAGTCAGTTGGTATGCAGCTGTGATTCAAGACAGATCGAGCATCCATTAGGAACTCAAGGAGATTAACAATCTGGCGACGAGGATTAAACTGCACCCACCAGCTTCTCCGAAAACAGTTAGTGCACAAACGGCCAACGATCGAGGCCTTCCGGAACCCATACGTTCCAGTGCGAGAAGTTCCAAAGCTCGGTCTAGGAAGAACGATGTCACCACCAACTCAAATAGCAACAAACCCAGGGTATTTCCCCGAATTCGACACAAACTCTGAAACATGGACGCTCTGGGAAACCCGTCTGGCGAATCATCTCAACTACCATATGATTTCAGACTCGGATAGACGTAAATGCGCGCTGATCGCGTACATGGGAGCAGATGCCTTCCGAAAGATAAACGATAAGGTATTTCCCGATCGAAAAATTGACGATTTATCCTACGAGGAGATTGTCAGTACTCTCAAATCCGTTTTCGAGCCGCATCTCAACAAATGGTCGGCTCGAGGACGATTCCGGGAGCTACGCCAGGAGGCCGGCGAGTCGCTGCTGGGTTTCGAGGGAAGACTCCGTAAAAGCTCCATCGAATGCGTTTGGGATCAGCGAAATTTGCAAGAAAATCTGAGCGAACAATTCATCCGTGGTCTCGCCGACGTGAGAGCAAAACAGTTCGTCCTCATGAAGTCCGAAAAAATGGAGAAGTTCTCCGAAATCTTCGATCTCGCCGACAGTTTCTTCAAAGTACAGAAAGCGACTGCGGCGTCAACCGATCCGAAGAACTCCGGTATCAACAAGCTCTCAAGTCGATCAAAACAACATCATTCGAATCGATTCCACCCGCAAAACCAAGGCAGTTCGGGCTCGAAACCTCGAAACTCTACGCAAAACCGGGCTAACCTTGACTGCTATCGCTGCGGGGACAGAAATCACCTTGCTCCCGCATGCCAATACAAATCAGTAACTTGCAATAATTGCGGGCTCGTCGGACACCTCACGAGGGCTTGCAGGAAACCTCGGCAATCTCAACACTTCATCGAAGAAATACCTTTTCACCATGTCAACTCGAAAAACCCCATCTACGTGACAGTATCACTCAACGGTCATCAAGTTGATATGGAAGTGGATACGGGAAGCGGAATCTCGACGATGACGCTCGACCAATTCCGTTCTATCGCACCGGACCACAGGCTCCACGAAAATGACATAAGTCTGAAATCTGCAACGGGGGAAAACTTCGAGCCTCATTCTTACTCAGACATCGAAGTCAGTTACGGAAACGTTACGAAAAACCTTCGGCTGTATGTGTTCAACAAACCGAATTTCCCTACCCTGATAGGAAGAGACTGGCTAAGAAACATCCCCATGGATTGGACAGCCTTGCTCAAAAATGGCTCCGTATACAACTGCAAAGAAATTCTTCCCAATACAGTAGCCGATCCAAGAAGTTCCGCTAAATCACTGATTACACAGCTCGACAAAAAAAACTTTTTTCGCGTTACAAAGAAAGTGAAAGCTATTTCGGGGTGAACCGGGGGCGCTGAATCCGAATTTATTTACAGATTTTCTCCATCAGTTCCAGTTTTTCCGAAATTTCAATTTTTCGATTTTTTGCCATTTTTCGTCTTCAAATAATTCTAGCTCTCTCCCCTTGCAGCTCGCTGAGGTCGTTGGAACTCACACTTGTATAAACCTCGGTGAAGAGAGCGGCATTGACGTCCTGCCCTCCATTCCGTTCATAATCTCGCCGCTGGTCTCGTTACTCAAGCCTGAAAAAATGTGAAGGGAAATTTCGGTCGGTTTCTCCGGAGATGACGATGAGTACTCGAAGAGTTCGATGGGATGAGTAGGCACCTTTCGGACGGAACACAACAGACCAAAGAAATAATACCGGTATAGGATATTACTCCTCAAGTGAAGTCAGTCTTTATTGAAGCTGTTTATATACATGATTGGGAAGGGTCAGTCCGGTGTTACACATCGGATAATGTGAAAAGCAATTATCGATATATAGAACGCGAGTAGAGCAATTTAAATATGCACCGCCACGGGCGAGTCGTTATTTACGATCTTGCTCAGCTACTCGATGCTGTGAACCATGAGATAGGAAAATACGAAATAAAGTCAGTTAACCTGTAATTTCCATCAGGACACTGATTCGATTCCTCTGCTGAGAGTTGACGCTCACGCCCTCATGACCAACAGAAAGACCCTGCGGGATCTCGCGTTCGATACCTAGAGACTCAATACTTACACGGGATTCGAAATCGGAATTTGACTTAAGAGCAAGCAGTCCGACCGAAATCGCGTAGTCGACCAACTCCCGCCAGTATATGAGTCCTCTAGAATTATGATTCACACCCTCTACCCCACGTCGATCAGCCAACTGCAGCCGACGACTAGCGAATACTTCAGCGATTCGTGCTCTACTGATCCCAGTCAAGCTGTTTGAGTTCTTCCACCTCTCACCGCACATCCAGTGAGCGAGCTTTGATCTACCCAAGACGAACATATTCGATGTTTCCGTAACATCTTGCAAGAGTGAGAAGAGGTCTCCATGACAAGACTTGACCGGAGGAGGGATCCTATGAATTTTACGGTAAAGTGAACATACGGAACAACAAACATCATCAAGGGCAATTGAACCGAGGAGGTCACTTCCGACATTAGTGGCGTTCCTTACATGGATGTATATGTTTCGCCTTAAACGAGAGGTTCTCAATACGACGAACTCCCCGGATGATCGTAGTTGGCTCTGAAGAGCCCCCTGCTCAGAGCCAGTAATCGAAGCAGATAGAAAGAGGGTGGGACATTTGGAAAGATGATCACCAATGTGAGAGAAAACTTCTGCATAACTCGGTCGGAAGTACTTCCAGTCGAAAATAACATGTACCTCATCGACCACGACTAGACCGAACTCCATGGCCCGATTGACTTCGACGAAGCGGTCAAAACACGCTGTGAGAAACTCCGGGGATACGAAGAGCAGATGAGGCTCACCGTCGCTACAACGCTGCAGAATTTCGAGGTTACTCTCCAGTCGACCATTAACAGGACCTTGGAACGCTGTCTTACAGCCAAATCTCGACTTCAAACTCTCACTCTGGTCAAGACAAAGTGCACGTAAGGGAGAGATGACGAGGACGGTCGCTTTGAGATACTCATGGATAAACGCGTAGACAAGCGTCTTTCCGCCCCCGGTCGGCATCACCGTCAGCACGTTTTTCTTTTCAAGCAGCAGCTCGATCGTTCGCCGCTGATGTCCCCTAAATCGATCAAGGCCAGCGAAACGACTGTTCAAGAATTCTCCGAGAGAACTCATCGCAAGAGAGGGTGATCGTCCGTGATCGCAGGATGGACCGTACGTCGTGTCGAGATGGGGTAATGTTCCTGAGAAAAACATACGAATTACAGCGAAATACTTGTTGCGAAAGTGTTGCAAGAAAGGAAGAATGAAGTCGAAGGCTTCATTCAATAGATGGCCGAAGACACGAATCAGATGTCTAATAAAGTATTCACGCAACAGACAATGAACATATCACCCTGGTATAACAGACAGTGATTTGCAATACAAGCGAAGCAATCTTGCGCACAAATGATCGAATCGACACTTAGCACCATCCGTAGGAAAAGTATTCGATCACAAAAGCGGCCACTAATGCTGACATAAGTCTCAACAGACTCACTAAGGGTCTGGGCAAAATCTGCCCTGCGAAGCCGATCTGATCGAGTGGGGTCTCATTTTGAAGATAATTTTGAGAGGAATATTTTCCGCATGGTCCCGGATCTGATTAGTTCTCCTGGACGGAATAAATGCCCGGAGAAGTTTTTTCTTCAACCCCTTCTATCTCGAGAACGGCTATAGCTACAGAGTCGTGCGATAGCGCGATCGAAAGCTCTCGTCGAGAGCTTTCATTTGATACCAATATCGACCTATTTGGCCGTTTCTAAGGCTCCAAAAAAGAGTAAACAAGTTTTCGGAAGTGTAGGGAACTTGTGTGGGTTTTAATCGACTGTGTCTCGTTCCTGTCACTCATTTATTCCGTTCTGTCTGACACGACCTCGGCCCTACTCGGACCTCTCAAGAATGTATGTTTATGTATGCATGCACGTCATCTCGCGCTACGCGCCTCCTATCTTACTCTCCCTACAGTCGACCACTGCTACCCCCCACCAAATGTCCTCGTTTGGGATCGGCCTATCATTCTACCAAGCTATTGAGTACACATATATCCAACAAATACACTTAACTGTATTTCGCTTGTACAATCGTAAGATTTACATTTTGATGTTAATAATCGCTCATAACGCTCGATCTTGACTCGTTCTCCAGCTGTTTCGCCAAGATCTCGAACTGTTTGCAATGCCGTTGCATGTGCCCCTTTTTCTTGCATCGGTAGCACTCGATCTCGACCTAGAGCTCACAACATCTGGCGAAGTGTCCGATTCCGCCACAATGGAAACACTTTTCGGCGTTAGCCGGACATCTCGGGTCTCCTGCCCGGTGTGCCCAGGACCAACAGCCCATACATCGTGTCGACGCGACTCGCGCTCGTTCTTCCTGAGCGTCGCTGATCTCGTCCTGCGCCCACGTCTCGTGTCCTCCGGCGGCGGAGTTCGCTCGCCTCATCGTCGAGTTCGCAGTGTGGCTCGGTCTCGTGTCGCGGTGCCTCTGGCGAACCGGCTGTTTCCTCCTCGGAATCGTCGTCGTCGTGGGTAGGACTCGGCTCCCCAGACCAAGGCCAGAACTCCTGGCTCGGCACCGCCGCCTCGTTCCTCTCGTCTTCCTTCGATGTACTCGCCGTGCACTCGTACTCGGATCCTCGTTTCCCTTTCCGCGGTACGGGTCCTCTCGTGCCTTCATCGTAATTTGTCGGGATCTCCGACTCGAACGGGACCTCCTCCGCCTCGTCGTCGCTGACGAACTCGTATACTCGTACCTCATCGCGGAACATTACGTCGATGGGGCCCCGTTCCCCGGGAGGCCGCCGACTTTCTTCTTTCCTGCGAACCTCGTACGCATAACCGGCTATCTTGTACATGGTTTCACTGAATTTCGCGGCGCTCTCGGCGAACTCGGCCCACAGTCGCATCGGAATGGCAACCGATTTTTCTGATTTCAGAATGCTCCTTTTTTTTCTCGATTCCGATTCTCCACTGCTCGTTCCGGGTCTTTGGTTTTCCATCTTGCTCGTCACCGTTGTTTGCTTGTATCGTCACTTTAACGCTGTCGACTCGCTCCGTCCGACTCCCGGCATGGAATGGGCCCTCGGCTTTCCTCTTCCCCCAAACTCTAATGTCGGCTCCAACGCCCCCTACCGGCAGCTCGTCCACGCTACTCAATACGATGTCCTCATCACCCACGTGTCTTACTACCTATGTGTACTCAACTATCTACCTCCTAGACGTGCCTGTTCCTATCTGAGTTGCCCTTATCTAATTTTCCCAACAACACGAACTATTTTCCATATTTCCCTTCGAATTTCGCCGCGCGTTTTGCGTTTCTCCTCCTGTTTCTCTCGTCGTCTTTTTCTCCCTCCGAATCTCTCGTCGGTGACTCCAATATTGCCGCATTCAAGTCGATTCCTCTCGACGTCTCGGGTTTCTTCACATCGCTCGCTTTGTCGCGTCCGAAATCCTCCAACATCATCGAAATCTCGTCGATGTCTCTTTCATTGTCGCTTGCACTCGATCTCATCGTTACGTCGATATTCTCTTGTGTTGTCTCCTTCTGAGAGACACTCGGCTCTTCGTCGTTCGTTTCTGGAATCTCTAAGGGTTGTGTCAGTCACTGGAAGAATCTCATCATCCTCTGAGCCGCGGACATTATACCAGCGTAATTGCGAGCAATGGGCGGTACACGTATAGTTTTTACCGACTCCCAGCTGTAC